AAACGTCAAACAACAGAAAAATACCAAGTAGGTTTCAAAAGCCGCCCCTCCAACCAAAGCCGAGCCACGACCCAGCGCGCCCTCCAAGATCAGGGAAGCAATCGAGGAAATGTGATCTCGGAACTGTTCGACGCCTGAACCAGCAAGACTCTGCACGAGCCGAAGGCCGCGGTGAAGCCTTCTTTGTATATCAACAACGTGCTGCCGAACTCTTGCTTCCTCCTCGAGCTGAGCACTAACAATGGCTTGTTGTTGCTTCGTCAATGTTTTTGAAGCCGCTGCCTTCTTAGAAGCAATATTCTTTCGGATCTCTTCGTCCCACTTCGCTAGTTCGGCATCCTTACCCTTGGTGGAAACTTTCGCCTCGCCTTTCGAGGCAAGCACTAGAACAAAGCGTCGCGTGAGCTGGAAAGTCTAAGACATCAGAAAGAATGGCTAACCATCAACATAAGTCGTCCCCTCAGGGGTTAACCATATTCCAAAGTCGGATTCGGTCAAAGCGTTAACGACTACCGGGTTAATATCTTCGCGTAACTGGTCCATTATACGTGGAAGCGTCTGCTCTGGGGCGACGAACGCCAAGGTGTTGACAGCGCTGTAGCTGGCATCCGCGAAGCCGAACTGTAGGCGTAGTCTTCAGTAACGGCCAGTCATCGAGGTAATGGCAATGCATCACCTTAGCATCTGCGGTCGACCCACTCAAAATAAGATCGAGAAGCTTGTCTAGATGTTTGGTGATCACCTCGTGTGGATCCGTATGCGCTCTCTGGCACAGATCGATCCATGTCTGTCGAGAATTGCCACCTAGAAAAAATTGAAATTAGCAAGTACAAACATAGAGAAGCCACAGACCATACATATGAGGTGGTGGTGACCAAGAAGGATGGAATGAATGACAACATCTTCCCTGACACTCAGCTCTGTGTCCTCCGCAAAGGATACAGCACTAAGCAACAAGTTCGAGAGTCGTGAATGCTTGTTCCACGAAGCAAAGGTCTCATCCGTAGAAGTCGATGCAGCTCCTTTCGAAACCGGCGGTCCGCGCGCAAGGAAAGCAGTCAGACCGTCACGGAGGATGCAATTCATGAGCTCAGGAAATGTTGCCGTACTCCGTTCGACGATAACGTTGACCTCTCGTCGGATCTCAGGTGTAGATCCTTCGAGGGAGAGGTAGATGAGTACAAGGCCTAGCTGCGTGCTAAAGTTCAAGTTAGTTGGCTGCTGGAGCTAGCGAACAAAAGGACATACCGAAGATTCTCATTTTTCGCAAACTCACTGTTATAGTAAAGCAAAGACGCCTCCCACGCTTGCAGAAGCCACTTCTCCTCCGTGGAATCACTCAGCTTCTGATACACTTTGTCCCAGAGAAGGAACGAAGGTTTCGTCGAGCCAGACGCGATCGACGTCAACGCCACATTTTTCAAAATGACATCGTCTAAGCAGATTATTATGTCAATCTAAGCCAGAACAACACGCATAATAGCAACATACTGAACTTTCCGGTCTTCGCGAGCGGACCCAGCAGCACCGTCGTCGCGATATAAGCCTCGAGAGGCCCCGCACTGGCATTCAACGGATTTGCAGCGACAGTCTTCAAGCTTCCCTCTAGCGCCGGTACAATTGCTTTGGCAAAACACAAGGCCTGCTCCTCGCCAAAATCGAGCCCACCGACAAGGATCGTACCTGCAAGTCCACAGAACGCACGGCGCACCCCTGGCTTCACGTTGCCCATCTCCCTGGCGATGAGAGCCGTCGTCTCAGGTGTCAGAGCGCCAGACACAGGAGACTTGAGGACGAAGACGATGTGAGGAGCGAGAGCACCTACAAGGCAAGCTGTGACTCCTTCATGCACCTCCTTTGCAAGAAGCGGAGTCGTCGTCTGTATAAGGGAGGCGGAAATACTGGAGGAAGGGGCGAGATGTGCGAGCATTGTGTATAAGGCGATACGATGATCCGGCCCTGTAGTCCTACCGGTCTTTGGAAGGGCAACGAGTTCGGTGAGTGCATGAGAAGTGGACTCGGAGGGAGCATTGGCAGGAAGAAATGTTTTGAACAGCTCTATGGCGCTAGCGCGGGTCAGGGGGTTGCTGGACTTGGCGCTGTTGAGAGTCTGGGTGAGAATGCAGCGGAAGGCGCCTGTGGTGAGATGGTGAGCGTAGGCCGAGATGAAACTGGATATAACTAACATTCGAGTCAGTAGAGTTTTGAATGAAGGAGTTAACGAACCAGGCAAAGAAATTTCTGGCGATCGTAGAAGCGCTTTCTCGATCGTAGGGAGTATCCTCTGCAAAAAATCTTGCTCCGATACGAAGTTAGTGATGAAATCGCTATATGCGTTCTGATTTCGTCAAGACCATGTCAAAACTGTTATAATTCACGTACAGAGATGTAGGACGGAACGGCAACTTTAGACATCAAGACATAAGTTGAGTAAGAGGCAATAATTTCGTCCTAGGTGAGGTGAGTAGACGGTTTCTAGGCAAAGGAGGTATCGCACTTTGAGTTCTTGAGGAAGTCGCGAGGACGGCTCGGCATTAACGTTCTTCAGACGCACGAGAACACTGACAGAGACACCGAGCAGCAGCATCATTCTTAGCGGAGACTGGCTAGATTTTGAGATGGTCAACAAGGTTTTGATTAAAGTCGGTATTCTCTCCCCGGCCTGTTGAGATCGTCAATATCTCCAACACAGAATACGCGTCAAATTTCTCTTACCGAGCGCAGGGCACGCCTGATGCGTACCAAAGCACCGTGTAATAAAGATTGTTTTGCCTTTGCTGAGGCGTTGATCATGTCCAGTAAAGTTGCCATCGAACCCACAAGCACGCGCCAAATGTTTGTCGACGGAAATTCAGGACTTGTGTTGACGCAGATAGTGTATATTTCGCAAGACCAACTCAACAGTACGAACAGGTCAGAAGACGCGTATGAGCTAGAAGAACAAAAAATAGAAATTGAATACGCAATTGTCAGGAAGACAGAGCTTGGGTCCTAACCTCGGAGAACCGCGTTTTACGAGGCGAGCAACTTCGTTGGACAACCATCCAAGAATCTGCTCTGTGACACCCAGCTTGACCTCGTTTGGTGTACCGTTCGGCAGCCCTCGTAGTTCGTCCTTCCTGATCAACTCCATGCCCACTGCTTCCACTGCATCTCGCGACGCGTTATCAGGATATCGGGGATAAGTCAGAGTTAATAGCTTGAATATATCCATAATTTGCGACAACGAAAGGTCTTGAATGATTTGCTCGTCATTGAGAGTTTTGTAGGTTAAAAAAACGACTAACCTGCATGCTTCACGAGCGATAACAGCTCATCCTGCAAAAACCGCACCCTTTCTTTTGCTTTTGCTCCTAGTAGTTTGTCCTGGGCATACTCCAGCGATTTCTGCCAATCATCCATCACCCGATCTCGCTGCCACAAAAAGTCACTTGTCGAGACATCTGGATCGTCCATGACTGTTGAGGATATCCACGATTGGATCGCTGCCTCGCTCAAGGGCTCAGTTGACTTCTCCTGCTTCCTGAGCTTCGCGAAAGTCGCTCTTTTAGGCAGATTTGAAAAACACTAAAAAAAGAAAGTGAAGAAAACGGAAAGACGATTCACCTCAGTGATCGTGGGAGTTAGCGTTATTGACCGTGGGAGACTTGCTTGTGACCCTCGCGGTGTTCCCTATTTCCAATTACCTCGCTCGAGTTTCAAAGCCTTAGATTATGGACCCTTTTGAAGTAAGGATGCAATTCCTTGCTTTACTGAGACGACTGAACGCGTCAGTAAACAGCTCATACTCCATGATTTTCGCTAAGACGTGAGTAGCGCAGATCCCAACAGTCAATACAAAAAGTAGTCGGTTTCGCCGTCAAATATTTCTCTGGATGTGGCGAAGATCTATGGGACTGTATTGTCGAAGAGTGTCAGAAGGTATAGCAATTATGTTGCTAAAAAACCAATGCTGACGAATTTCTAGGGCTCGGTGAACTCACGGATAAATATCCTCTATTTTCTCGATAGCCTCTGTGAGGCGTGTCTTCTTGTCAAGTCGCATGCAAAGGGCCAAGACAGAGATTCCAATCTCTACGTGAACTTTGTCACCCGCGATCTGGGGAAAATTGTCGAGAATGTTGTACCTAAAGGCCGTCAAGGACTTCCTAATCTCGTCAGCACGAGACAAGTGGGATTTTTCTCCAACTTTTCTCCAACATTTCCTGAATTTCCTCTTAGATATTACAAAGTTGGCGAAGTAAACGAGTCATCGACCCCCAAACAGTTGACGACGTCCTCGCATCCCTCAACGACCGACAAACGGCTATCGACTCAACGAACCCATCCTCTTCCTCACCTTCCTCATCTTCCCACCACCACCATGCCCCGCTGCCGCGCAACGAAATTTTCAAACGCATTGAAGAGGATCGAGAACGACATAAACGCCTTCGGGAACGACGTTGGGTACAACCAATAATACATAACCCTTCTTCATATCAGCAACCGCCACTAGCTTCGTTCATGCCGCTCACGAACACCGGCGATGGAGCGCAGGAGCTGACGATCGATATCGAGTTTGAGAACGAGTGGGAGACGACGAGTGATTGGAATGAGGATGATATAGAGGCGGCGACGGAAGAGGCGGAATTATGCTTTCCGGCAGAGGGAGAGGGGCCGATGGATCTTTCATGAGCGTGGTGCAGTGGTGCTTCCAAGTTTTTTTGTGTAATCTCCTAATATGTATGTTTTGAACTCCGTGCTATCTGAAGTGTGAAAAACGTATATAAGAATGCGAACTTCAATTTGATCTGACTTCTTCCCTGACATCTATTCAGGATGGTAGGGGCCAAGACCGACAGACAAGACTCTGTGACGTTCCACACTACGCAAGATACAACCAACTTTCCAGATGTGTCGAATCAATTCCAGCGCATTACCTTTGTATTACACAGCAGAAACGTGAAAATCAGGAAAACTGAGTAAAAACGTGACACATCACAGTCGCTGTAAATGCACTATGCATCAAGGGGGAATCGAACCCCCGGCGGGTCGAGTCACAACCAGAATCATTGATTCCAAATGGCAACGACCCAGGTTACCACTACCCCATTAATGCGCGCAAATTCCCTCTGTCTGGGCATATTCAACTAGACGGGCTCGAATGCTGTCCGTCCAACAGAAAGGCGGTAAGTATGCAACTCTGGACCGACTCTCAACGTCCTTGATTGTTCGTGGACCTAGAACTAAGGCACAATTACTTACATGCCCCGCAAGGCGGCAGGACCTACTCTTTGACGTCCGAACCGGGTGGTTGGACATACTAGCCTTGAAAGCCCCATTGTACATCTGATGAATTTCATCCTCATAGAAAGAGGTTAAGCTTACAATGTGGTTCCAAAGAGGTACAACTATGTCCAGTTCATCTGATCGAAACTATTGAACACCATTGCATCTTACGGAGTCAAGCAACACTTTGCGTCCATTGATGGCTAATCATCGATGATCATTGTAGACTAGGTCTATAATGCATTACGCCACATGTATATCTGATACACATAACAGCACAAGCCACGCAACTACTTCCATTCTCTCTTTGTCGCGTGAGGGGTGATCTCTGTCAACCCAAAATCCGCCCCATGAGGCTTGCCTAACTCGACATCGGCGTGACGCTGCTCTCTAACACTTGTCATGGCGATACTTATCCGAGTTTGCCGCTAGTTAGAAAGCAAGATAAGACAAGGCCTCTGATTTGAAGCTAGTGAGTATATAAGATACCCACCGTGGACTGCAAATCAAAGTTCAAGTTTGAATCGAGACCACTTGCCTCATTGATACTACGCAAATCGGCACGAGCGTTGAGACTATTTTGGCAGCGATGAAATTAGTAGCAAGCATCAATAAGGAACTGAAAATACGTACGATGCCATAAGCGAGTTGGAAAAAACTTTTAGATAGTCAGATCTCCGGAGCAAAGGTTATTTACATAATAAAAACTTACGACGAGGTACTATTAAGAAGATCGCCAGCCAACCGTAGTTATCTAGCACGAGGAACTTCAAGAGAATTAGTAGCACTAGTGGACGCATGTGGTTTCCTCACCAAGATCAACTGAATTGTTGTCCCACAGCTAACTTATCATCATCAACAAAAATATTGTAATGTAGCAGAATTGTCGTTTATACCTTGTTATTAAACCCGTCTCTTCATAACAAGTCAGACTCTCCGATATTTACACATTTCTCTTCACTCACGAATTGTCCATAAAATGAGCTTGTCAATAATCGTCTTCATCCTAAACGTGTCAGCTCAGTGCTCAAATCGCAAGAATGTTAACGAATAATTATTCACACACCTTGCGAGGGTTCCTCCGCGATACGTCCACAAGTAATAACACAAGGACACCGTGATTAACACGTCGTTTGACGTTGAGAATATGAGTGTTATCACGAACAACCATTCCCACTCCTCTTTGCTAGCCATAAGATTGAGTGTGCCATGACAGATAACTGCCAGTGTCAGGAGACTGGTGAAGCGAAGGAAGCACAACACCCAAGCAATGACTGGAATAATCCATTGGGAAGACAGTATATAAATACGATGTGCTGAGAATCCCTGCATGGGGAGATATATAGCTCTGAGCTGCAATGTCGAGCGACAGTTACCTGAACCACAGGACCGATAATTGCAGCAATGAGCACAGCTATATCTCCCGTCGTTGTAAGCTCGAGAACTGCCCTTGGGTCTCCGTATCTAATGACCGAGTACTGGTGTATCAAGATCAGGAGGAATCGATTAGGTGCTCGATGACACTTCAACTCACATAGTAAATCCAATGAGTTATTGCAATTGCATGAAGAAACTCCAAAACCCTGTCCAGGGAGTCTCGAGCACTGAAGTTTGAATTTCTCTTGTGCTCACCATATGACACCAACCTGTTTTTTGCGAACCTTAGATTTCCATTTCATAGAAGGACTGAGAAACTTACAAAAGCTTTCAGTACCCATCTGTCGTTAGAAAACCTTCTGCCGCATAGGTGAATCACCACGTCAATCGTAAGTGAAGATCAGAAACTCACTTGTAGTATGTGAATGTCTGGGCAGTTACTATTCCAAACAGGAAAATGGAGACCAGGACTCCAATCTCGACGGGACCGAGCGTTGAAGAGACATTGACGGCTGGTTGTTCTGCCATTGTGCACCACAAAGCTTCCTAGGACCTAAGAGATGGTAAAAGGATGAACAGTAACTCAGAATATAAGGAGAAATAGGATAAACGACAGCACCGGGTGCCTGGTCAATTATCTCGATAAGATAACCTTACCTGATACTCGTCTTAAAACAAGTTTCATCCCACCGCTGACAGAATCAAAGGAGATTCCAGATTTGCGGCTCTCACAGTAAGCTTCCCATCATTCCCTTCGAATTCTAGTCTATATATTGATGTAACGATTCGTTGAAATTGGCACGGTGGATTGTTCCTTCATCGTAGAATGTAGTCCCGCAACAAAATGGATGTCATGATAGCTGCGTATGAAAGACAATCGAGATTCCAAATAATGGGCACAAGGTATTGCAACGAAACGTAGATGCTAGACCTTGGTTATTCGAGACACCAGTCACTGTGACCTGAACTTGACGACCTCTCTGAGCGTCATCTCTCCCCGACTCTGGGACGCATCTGACTAGTTGCAAAGGGAGTTCAGGAAACAAGGATCTACAGAATTCAGAATCGAGAAACATACCTGCATATATAATGTATCCTTCCTGGAGATAATCCTGATTTATTCTTCAAACTTGATTTTTGAAGACAAATCAACCACTTGGGTTACCACATGTGACATTGTCAGCTAGCAGTCTGGAATATAACTTGGCAAACGACACCGAGTTCATCACTCGGCCGAAGAAAATGAAACAAAGTTGGAGCGTACTTGCGACACCCATTTAGAATTAGAAACAGATGATGGACAAATTGATCGAGGAGCACTAGCAAATGACTACTTACCTCTGTCAGGCAGGTCTCGGCCTGATAGGCCGGTGACAACGATACTGGGGTGATTACGTATGAGAGCCACAAACGCACAACGATTCTGACGCGGTTTTTTTTCAAAAAACAAACAAACAAGAAACAGCCTTGATAGACGTTGATATACGCTTGCAATTGTTGCATAACCGAATGAATCAATAATTGAAAGCTTTCCTCCCCCTGATTTCCCACTCTTTGGCCTACCTCCGGGTCAGTCGGTATCTCAGTGCATGTGCCAATTACAAACACACTGTAATGAATTAGCTCCATTGACCACCTGCGACAGCCGACGTCTTTGTGATGTAGATGTGTTAGCAGAGGAGCAGAGCAGCGGACTATGGTATCGGGACGAATGTCCGAATCATCAAGTTAACAGAGAAGGTTCAGATCCAGCCAATTGGACACAAGACTCTTTGATCCGAATAACGACCGGCAGTCATGAGTCGTGATTTTTTTTTAAAGAAATGCATATCTAATATCGAAGCAGAGAGTGGACCTTTTTGTCCATGTTACGAGCAAACTGCGTGAGGTCAAGAAAAGGATCGCCTTTTTCAACTTGGGACTCCGACGTCGGCACAACTTTCAACTCCTCCGCTAGGGAATGTTCAAGTTTATGGTGGCCTTTTGCCATGTGTTTGATGCATATGACTGTGTGACTATGTATTAAGCTTGATGATACCGACGTCTATGTTTGCTCTTTGCCTTTCATGATGTTTGAATACTGAAAATGACTCCGTATCCCCGAAAAAATGCCGGCAAGTGCCTGTTTCAATCGACCGTCAACTTTTCGGCCGATGTGTGTATCTCAATCTCGACATACTTTACATTGAATATCTGAACCTGGAAGAAAGTCTTCTAGTCTATAATAGTAGTCATGACTTCAATTATCTCTTCTCGTTCGCTCGCGTGCGCATCCCGGTCTCGAAGGTCGCTCAGGCCACGCGTCGTGTGAGTTACATGCATATGATCAATGTGTTGTATTGTACTGACATCTTCGTAGGACATTCGCCACTGTAACAGATGGGACACAGAACCTTCCATTGTCAGGAATTCGTGTGCTTGAGATGGGTCAGTTAATTGCGGGTCCTTTTGCGGGTCAGCTCCTCGGGTAAGCTCCTGTCCCTCTCGTCTGTTATTTGAAAAACATCTCTTCTATCAGGCAATTTGGTGCAGAGGTCATCAAGGTAGAGCCTCCTAGAACTGGTGATCCGCTGCGCGTTTGGCGTGAGCTCGATGAAGATGGGACTAGTCCGTGGTTTAGAAGTATAGCGCGGAACAAGAAGAGCGTAGCGATAGATATGAGAAAACCAGAAGGTCGAGAGTGCGCCCCTCTCCTTTTGCCTATTCCAGGAATTCTAATACGACAATCGGTTGCAGTCTCGTCAAACAACTTGCCATCAAAAGTGACGTCGTCATCGAGAACTTCAAGCCAGGCAGTATGTTCTCGACCAAAAAATCGTGCAATTCTCACGAATGTCATTTTATAATCAGCTCTCGAGAGATGGGGACTCGGACCAGCGGACTTACGTCCTCATAATCCGTCACTCATATTTACTCGTGTGAGCGGTTATGGGCAGACGGGTCCGTGGGCCCCACGCCCCGGATATGCTTCTGTGTGCGAAGCAGAGTCTGGTTTTCGATATATCAATGGATTTCCCGACTCCGAATCGCAGGGACTGGCTGGTCCGCCTGTTAGACCCAATATCAGTTTGGGAGACTCAATCGCTGGCCTACATGCAGCATTCGGCACGGTATGCTCGTGTTATCGTGTGCATCGTGATCCTCATGTCCCATGATAGGTATTAGCTTTGTTGGGGCGGCAAAGACAATCGACTCACGCAGGTACAACAGTAGACGTTAGCATCGTTGAAAGGTGTATCTTGACTTGACTTGTGCTTGACTCGAACTTACTGATTCTCCAGTATGCTTAATCTCATGGAAGGTATTATTCCGGAGTATGATCGTAAGGGCAAGGTAAGACTAATCCTTGGCTTGTTTAATTTGTTTTCAACTCCTTCATCAGACACGCGGACCATCAGGCTCCTCAGTAACTGGCATCGTCCCAACAAACGCATACCCGTGCTTGCCTGATTC